ATCTTCGCGGGCAGTACCCAAATCGTCCAGGCGTTGTCCTAATTTTCGCAGGCACTGTCCAATTCTCGCGGGCATTCTCCCAATGTTCGCGGGCAGTATCGGGCTTTAGAGTTTCGGGGCTGCAGGGCCTTGGGCTTTTGGGTTCAAGCTCTATTGGGCGTTGAGGACTACGGAGGCTTGAGCTTGCTGGGCCTTGGGGTTCTGGGGTTTCGGGCCAACCGTGCCCCGTATGAAACCCCGATGCTGTATTTGCAGCGCGCCTCCATCTAGCAGAGTGCCCTCAGCCGTCGCTAATCCAAAGTCCACCACCGTTACCTGCAAAAGAGGACATGGAGGGGAGAGCCACCAAAGGCCTCAGAAGGGAAAGGTAGGGACTGGTAGGGAATCGGTGTCGTGGTGTGTGCCGTGGCCTCTAGGAAAGAGAGAAGCTGCTGAGTCTTGCTGAGCTTTGCCCTGGTGCCTTGGTCTCGCCATCTGATCTGGAGATCATGATGTTCTCTGGCTTCAGGTCCTCGGCATCGTCCAAGCAAACTCACTGTGAACCCACAAATCATTGCAAATTTCCCCTGGAAATTGCTGGAGGAGCTGCTCTGTGAACAACGCCTTGCTGATGGCAGTAGTGCATGGCTTCCAACACTTGCCTTGCCAAAGACACCGTCCCTAGCAGTCTCTTACTGCTTAAGGGAGTGACATTTCTGGCACTGCAGACTGATGCAGGCCCTCAGCACGGTTTCGACGCTTTCCCTGCCCCCCTTGCCTCAGAATGCTGGCGGCGTTCTGCTCATCAAACCTGTTCTCCGAAGCAACAGAGAATGACAGCTGGTCGACAAACCAAGGGTAGCTGGGGGATGTTGATCAACGCTGTGGGCTGGCCGGTGGTAAAAGGCGAGAACTCGAATATCAGTCTGTTGCTGTCCCGGCTGTCCCAGTCTAGACCGTGGAACCAACAACGATGGACATGCCGAATCACGACGGAATCAGCTACTGACCAGCAGAAGAAGCCGCTAGCAAGTTGACTGGTCCCAGCCACGGGCCACTTTCAAGAAGGTTCTCCATCAAGTCAACGCCTGGCAACGTGCACTGGGGCCATGACGCGCTGCTTGCTGGGGCTACGTTTACCTTAGCTTAGCCTCGCTCCCCAGTGCGCTACTGAACTTGACCAGCACGTGCCAGGCCTTCGGCATATTCGAGGATGAGGTAGACGTTGAACTGGTCCTCGTCGACGCGGATCAGTCCTTGGCAGGGCAGTTGCAGTTCCGGACCCAAAGATGTGATCCAACTTCTGAAACTGATCAGGAAAGACCAAGGCTTTGATGAAGCGCAACGTCCCCGTTTCACCGCATGCAACTGGCGCCCAAATATTCCCGAGGTGTGCCAACATACTGAAGACACATGTCTCGCCAAGAAATCAGCAGGAGCAAGGTGATAAGGTTAACCTGCTTTTTATAAACCCCCCCGTCATTCAAGAATTCGGATCCCGGAACTCAATTATAAACCCCCCGGCCCCCTCAATAATAGGAAATCCCGGCCCGGGGACCGATTTGTTTTTCTATGGGCCCTTTTGGGTAGGTCAGGGCTCCTCAACAGGCGGGGAGGGCGGAAACAAAAACCAATCGAGACGGGGGGTGGGGGGGGGGGGGGTTGATTAAAAGGAGGTCAACACTAGGGTGTTGGATTCCTGCTCTACTGGCTACGCTGCCTACTTCGGGGAGGTGCTGCCGGTGCGCTGTTCACCTTCTCATGCTCCAGCGTGCGTAGGGTTTCCGCCTCGTCATAGGCAGCTGCCCTGTCAGCTCGCGTCTCCTCAGATTGGCTTTTGTTCACCATGCATTACAAGAGTTACAAAAGCTCGCACATTCCGACACGCGTTCCCAACAACCGAAAAAAGCATTTTAACGACCCAGGCCTTCGCGATGATCTTGATAGCAACAGTTCTCCCTGTCCTTCAGGGAGCGGGGGGAGCCATGGGGATCTCTGGCTCATGGACATTTCAGCCGAAGGCCGGAAGGCTGCCCTCTTCTTCAAGACATGTAAATGCACACGACGGCGAAAAAAGAGAGTTTGAGAGAAAACGACTCGCGGCTTTTGCCCACCTCAAGCTCTGGCCCAGATGCGTTGTAGCAGAGCCACCCACACCTGGCCCCGTTTGACATGTTTGACCATTTCTGAGGGCTGAAGAAGTCCATTTCTAGGGAAGATGGTGGAAAGATTGTGGTCCTTCTGAAAGGGATCCAGGTCTATGAACGAAGCTGGACATCAATAAAGCGTTTTACAAGAGACTTTCTGGATAGAATGCCGAAACTACAGACTTCAACGAACACAAATCCCCCAAAAAGGGCCTTCGAAACATTCCAGCGAAACCCAGGTCGAATGAAGCAAACTGGCAAACGGAGCCCAGCCTAATGTCCGGCTCAACCTTAGTGGCAGAGGGCTTAGCATAACCTAGCAGCCACGCACGACATTCGCATGCCAGTTGCACCCCTTCAGCCGCTTCGGCCGCATGCTCCAGAAGAACAACGAAAACAGAAACATTTCAGCCACCAGACTCATATTCGCCCGCAATGACCTCCTGTGGTGTCGCATCCGGCGTTCTGCGAGGCAGGGTGGCAAGTGCAGTTGGCTATTGAGGTTTGGGATGGTTTGGGTAACCCGGATAACACGGTAGCCGCCCCTTTGTTTTGGAATGCTCAAAACCCCAAAGCAACAGGATGTCTCACGCGGCGCCTTGTGCGATCCCAACTTCGGCAGCTGGGCAAGTCATCTGCCTGTGCACAGCATTGCACAGCATTTCAACCGCAACGAACCACTCGACTACAACGCTCAAAAGATCTCAAAAACATGAGGAAGCTCACCGGTGTGCTCCAAAGCTGGCACTCAAAGCCACGTGCCTCGAAGCAGAAGCATGACGACACCATGCTCTTGACCTCGCCGAGATGGATAAAACAACAAAACACCAGACACACCAACACAAACCCCGAAACGCTACTGAGTCAGCTGTCCGGATTGGGCACGCAGACTCGTTCACAGCTTCACAGCTTGCTCAGCTCCTAACAGCCTCCGCTCCATCCACTCTGTGCCTGTGCAAAGCCTGGGCAACTGCGATGTTTCACGTTGCAACGCGTGCCACGCAGATGCAATGTTGCCGGCATATGCAAGCCAACCACTCACAATGCCAAATGACAAAGCTGATGAATTAAGGTACTGACAGCGGAAGGCAGTCTGGGTCGCGCCATGGATACTGAAGTTTTTGACCCTATGCTACAAAACGAACTCGCCTCGAGGTTCGAGGTTCGTGGCAGCGGCAGGGCGTGGCAAGGTTTAGTTTTATGTCGAAGTCCGGCCTGAGTCCTGGCCACCTTACCTTACCCTGAGCAAAAGGAGAGGCGGTGGCCTCTGAAACCTGTACGCGCCTAGCAGAACAGTTCCGAGGCGCTTGCAATCACGCGGCCATCGACCTTGACACGGCCGGTGCTTGCATGGGCTATTTCCATCAGGCTTACCTCGGATCTGTGCCCTCACATGGGGTCTCAACCCGAAATCCCAACATGGACTGGCATGTAGGAGTGCCACCTCCCAGTTCCCCTGCAGTTCTTTCTGGAAGGGGATCTGGCAACAGGCCGACGCTGTGTCGAAGCATGCATCAGATGGCGACATCTTGTCACACTTTCCCATGTGCTCCATGTGCAGCTGCCTCGTAGGGCACAGCTTCAGAGGAGGCAAGGACCCTCCGAGGGAGCCAACCAGCTGGCCTGGCCAAAAAAAAGCTACTGCTAGCATCCAGCATCTGCTAGCAGCGTACTGCTGCCGGGAGATGCCAAGCTGCCCTGAGGCAGGGGCACGTCTGAAGTGTCACTGATGCCAGTTCCATTCAGCCCTGTGGTATTGCAGAGGGCTCACACGGTGCAGGGACTGGCAGCCAAGAGTAGTGACATTTACGACGTTACGGGAGGGTTATTAAAAAAGGGCCACTGAAAAGCAACAAGAGCCCGTCGGCGCCGGATGCCATGTCAACAAGCACCCGAATCAAGCATTCCCAGCTGCTCAAGCATTTCTGAAAGCAACACGCGGCTGCCTTCGGGCATCTTTCGGCCTCGGCCATGTGCTGCCACAACTCTGCCCCAGAAATATGGCACGGAAATACGCGCACTGCACTTCCTGAGCCAACGTGAGGCTGCTGGCCATGAGCCCAGCTGCCCTCAGACTTGGAGATCAGAACCGCCTGTCAGAACTTCAGGGCCGAGGACAAGGTGACAAGTGGGTCCCCTTTTCCAGGGGGGGCGACGACGAAATTCGAAGGCGAAATTTGAAGACGAAATTCGGCCAGCCGAAAGTCGGCCCCGAAGAGGAAATTCGGCACTGAATTCGAAACTTGGGCCCTGAAGGCTTCAGGGCCCCCCCCATCCAGTATGGACTCAGGACCACCCGACATGAGCACGAGGATCAAGAACATGAAGAAGACAGGTAAAACCTTTCCTGCTCGCCATGACTACTGCCAACACTGATAAACCTTTCCTTTTCATCCTCTGATGACTTGGTTGATTCTGCCGACCACGGTTTCATTCCGCGCCATGCCTGGCCCGGCTCCACGTCGAGCCGCTGCTCGCCACAGGCCTGCGAGAAGCGATGCGAAGCTATGTGAAGCGATGCCAAGCGATGCCAAGCGATGCCAAGCGATCGGAAGCGAAGCGATGCGAAGCGCGGATGGCAAGCGTGGCAAGCAGTAGCTCCAATCTGTCGACGCAAGAGATGCAGCAGGCCACAGCACATAGAAGCTCCAAGGGACAAAGTCTCTGCCTCACAATCGCAGGCTGCCCAGCAGCCAAATCGGTAGCAAACCCAGCACCTCGGAAATCAGCGTGCATCCGCGTTCCGTGAGGATTAGGATGTCCGAGTCGAGGTATTCGCGTCTATGTGATTTGCTGGGATGGGGACCAGTAGCTGAAACAACATCGTCCTGAGCCGTTCTACGGACTTGCGAGAACTCCTCGCCGTCAAAGACCCTAGGCTTCAACTCCTTCGCCCGTGAAGTGCTCCCGCACGGGCATGACCATACTCCTTTGGGAGGCCAAGCAAAAGCCTCTGTAAAGTAAAGAATGGAGTCGAGAAGGTGGGTTTTTGTGGGCTTTCTTTTGCTTTCCCATGCGCACCTTTGGAGCTTCTCCGTCTTCTGGGCGATCTGCTCTGTGCTGATGTCAAAGTGCGTGCTGCCTACGAGGGGAACATTCGGGGACACAATCAGTGTAGCTGCATGCGCTGTCTCAGTGCGACATGTCTTCGTTCATTCCTTGCTTCCTTCTTCTTCTTCTTCTGCATGAAGAAGTGAAAGCTGGGCAATGCTGTTCGTCACCAGCCACGCGCTCACCATGCCCCAAAGAGCAACGCACGCGGTCCCAATCCCATACATACCTGACAACGAGGAGTAGTGTGGGGAGGCATGGGGGGCTCCCCTCCGTAACTTCAATGCTGAAAGAACCACGGGAGGGGTGCACGTGCTGTTAACTCTTGAGATCAACCAGAGAAGGCCTCTATCGGGTCTGCTGCTGATGATGACCCCCCCCCCCTTGGCTGGCAACCGTTGCCGGAGCTCGCCCCCCGCGAATGCCTTGCTGGTAGCGTTCCCGCTGCTGGTGGATGCTGAGCTGGCCCGTCAATGAAGGGCTGCGTGGGTCGTAGCTGCTGATGCGGCCTTCTGAGTGGCTGATCTCCAGCTCCTTTGTCCTTGCCGTTATTGCTTTTAGCTGCCCGAGACTCGAAGTGTAAAGGGACGCGGGCAGGCTTGCCCCGGAGACCCCCTCTTCCTCCTCTTCTTCTTCTTCTTCTTCTTCTTCTTCTTCTTCTTCTTCTTCTTCTTCTTCTACTACGGGGGCCCTCTCTCTCTTTCTTTTCTTTTCCTTGGGGCAAAGTGTCGGGGTTTACCCCCTCCCCCGCACAGTCCGCGTGTTGGCAAAACCCGGGGGATATCCCCCGGTACAAGCTTCAGCTCCCCGCCCCCCCAAGTTCCTGCGAACGGTAACACTGACATGCTCGCTCTTCCTCTCGTCCTTCGCTTCCTTCCTTCCTCTCCACTGTTCTTCTCTTCTCTCCTCTCTGCTGTGTCTTGCAAAGTGTCAAGGCCTGGCCGAACCATCGGCCACACTGGGTCTCCTCTCCACAACACTCAGAGGGCTCAGAGGGTGCTCTCCAAGGCACACACCACAGCATCCCTCACGGCATCTTGCCCCCTTTTTCCCCCCAAACAAAGAGACTCCTGGCGTCGCAAGGCCAGGGACAAGCCAGGACAGGCTTGATCCCAACAACTCGGAGAGCCAGGGGCGCATGACATTCGCAAGCACAGGAAGAGAGGCTATTTGGAGCACTCTTACGAGAGTGGAGAGAAAAACTCCGACAAGACTGCGAGCTACCATGCCGGCTGGGGCCAAAGCAGCCGCAAAGTTCTCCTTGCGGCCCAGATCGTACGGGTAAACCTCAGATGTGGATTCAAGATAAGTCATTCTTGTCTTGGAGACACAGATGCGCCATGTGGGCCATGTGATCACTTAGTCACCTGGCCCCGGCACCAGATGTTACGATGCAAGTACCCATTTACTTCGCCTCTACTCCCCCCTCCCCAACCCTCACCGAGCCCTGAGGCCCTCCCCCATTCAGAAGGGATCAACAATGATCAACAAGTTTCAGATACTTCAGATACCTGTCTTGCCAGGGCCGAGGCGGTCGACGTGCAGCGTTGACTAACTACACTCGTGTCTGGCTCTGTCTCCATGCGCTCTTGGGCTCTTGGGCAAGGGCAAACTTTCGCTCTCCAGCTCGCCGCCTCCGCATCTCTGCCTTCTCGACGACATACTCCTCAAGATCATCACATTCTGCCCTTGTTACCCCCCACCGTCCGAGAACAGGACCAGCATCGGAAAAAAGAAACGGCAAGATTATACAAAACAAATCACAAAGCAAACCAATAGCTAGAGTTAATCACTCTACAATCCGAAGAAGACCCAGACTGTAGGACACCCACCTCGATCATGCTGACGTTGCCGATCACCGTGTGCTCCATCCTCAGCGCTTCTCCGCGCACTTGAGGACCCGAGATTCTTCCTGCCTGCTCACCGCCATCGCAACATGAGCACCGCACTCCCAGGCCAGGGTGCCCACCAACAGCATTACCTGAGAGGCTCTCGATGTTGGCTTTACTTGGAGTATCTCCGCGGGCGTGGATTCTGGTGGCATTGTAGCGAGCCAAGCCCTGGAGCATCGCTCAGGCTCACTGCTCTCGTTCTGACAAGGGGCCACCAGGCAGCAGAACCAAGCGATCAGGCCCAGCCTGTTGCAAGGGCAAAGCAAGTCCACGCAAGGCCGTCAGGGCATAAAAGATCTTCGAATGCCACGGCACAGCGAGGCTGAGGAGGCCCTTTCTGGGCCGCTGGCAGGATCCAGACTCGCACCACAACCCTCAGAAAGTCCAGAGACTTCCGTGAGCTCTTCCATGCCTGGGTGGGACAGCGAGCGCATGAAGATAGCAGGATCGAGAAAGAAAGAGATGGAGAGAGAGAGAGGGAGAGAGAGAGAGAGAGCGAGAACAAAAACAAAAACACAAAGAAACGTCCGTCTCAGAGCAAGCAGATTCTCGCCAGCTTCAGCAAGCAAATTGCGGGGTCGAGATCTGTGCGAGTCGCGCAACTTGCGGTTCTGACTCTGGGCTGGTGGCATAAAACAGCAGGACGAAAAGCTCCGAGTGCACGATCAACTCAGATAGTTCGGGCACAGTTCGGCATGTGGGGAGAACTTAAATGACTTAGCAAAAAAAAAACAAAGCTAGTGACCCGACAAGTCCTCTGCCCCCTTCCCCCTTCCCTGGGACTTTGCCGGCTCAGCTCTCCGAGCCACCGCGTGCAGGGTCGCGATGGGCACGAAGTGGACGAACTGCACGAAGGGCTTCAGGTTGATCTGGCCTCTTTCATAGACCATTACGATCCAGACATCCAGTGAACGGAGCATCACGAGAGAAAGACCCCTCCCTCTTTGAGATGTCCACCCACGCACGTGTTCGTCCATGGGCAGTGATGATCCATACTGGCACAGGCGCCATCTCATGCAGCCTATGGAGAGGCGTGTGGGCCCTAGGGCATCCTAGGGCCCTGGGCCGGCCTAAGAACGCACCGGCCACAGGTGGAGCAGTGATGAGCGCGTGGCCTGGGAAAAAAACCCGGCGCAACCCAGCGAAACAGTTCAAGACAGCACCGGCAGCAAGCTGTTGGCCCGGCGGTTTGTAGCCTTTGCAGCTGCTACACCACTGAAGCAAGTCGGCAACCTCGGCACTTTCAGAATCGTTCAGAAACATTCAGAATCTTTGAGAATCTTTCAGACGGCCACACTTCGAAGTGTGACGGCAGATGGCTGGATGTTGAGCAACGCTAACAGTCGGGATTCTGGATTTAGAAGCAAAAGAACAGTGCCGCATAGTTCGTGTATTTCTGCTCAGCGCGCCCGCCTAGAAACATCCCCACTGTCTCATGAAGGTTCTGCTGCGGAATTTAGGGTTACATTTTTCCGCGTATGAAAACTGAAAACTCGAGTTGGACGCGTCGTCGCACATGGTAGCACAAACTCGAAACCCTCTCCTGAAAAGGCACATGACAATTGATGAAGGTGTACTATGTTTTAGCAAGAAGCAAAACGCTGCAAATAACGGTGTTTTGGACATGCTGGCAAAGAGATGCAAAAACGCCTGCACACTTGTGACAGTGCATCCGGTTGCAGAAACATCAAACATTCTTCTGCTGTTTGTTTCAAAGGACAAAAAGCTGCACGCTGCACATGCCAGACTTGTGGGCATGTTCGAAAAGGCTGGTAACTTGTAATAGCGTGTTTGTTCCACGAGCGGAGCGGGAACGTACGAGGCGGGGTCGTAACCGCAATAAGGACCCATTTTTTTTAACCACAACAAGGAATCACTTAACCATGATAAGGATTTGTGCCTCAGTGCATGATAGCCACAATCCCCCCCCCCGACCACATGGGAGTGACAAAAAGCCCTCAGAATTGAGATTTTAAGCCTCCCAAAGCTCCAAAACCAGGTTCTTTCTGTCACTGCGGGTGCCCCCCCTCCCCCCCTTTCTGTCACTGCGGATGCCCCCCCCCCCACATAGGAATATACACACCTGAAAATTGAGGTTTTGGGCCTCCCAAAGCTCCAAAACCAGGTTGTTTCTGTCACTGGCGCCCCCCCCCCCCCCATGAAAATTCTGTCACTGCGCCCAGACCCACATAAGAGTGACAAAAAGCCCTCAGAATTGAGATTTTAAGCCTCCCAAACCTCCAAAACCAGGTTCTTTCTGAGTGACAAAAAAACCTGAGAATTGAGGTTTTGGGCCTCCCAAAACTCCAAAACCAGGTTCTTTCTGTCACTGCGGGTGCCCCCCCCCCCCCCCCGAGACCCACATGGGAGTGACAAAGCCCTCAGAATTGAGATTTTAAGCCTCCCAAAGCTCCTTCTGTCACTGCGCGTGCCAACCCCCCCCCCCCAGACCTACACGGGAGTGACAAAAAAACCTGAGAATTGAGGTTTTGGGCCTATCAAAGCTCCAAAACCAGGTTCTTTCTGTCACTGCGGGTCCCCCCCCCCCCCAGACACGTCACTGGAACCCCCCCTCCCCGACCCACTGAATCTGTTACTGCGGGCGCCCCCCCCCCCTCCCCGAGCACAAAGCCCTCAGAATTGAGATTTTAAGTTTCCCAAAGCTCCAAAACCAGGTCACTGCGGCTGCCCCCGCCCCTTTCTGTCACTGCGGATGCCCCCCCCTTTACATAGGAATAAAAACACCTGAAAATTGAGGTTTTGGGCCTCCCAAAGCTCAAAAAGCCCTCAGAATTGAGATTTTAAGCCTCCCAAACCTCCAAAACCACGTTCTTTCTGTCACTGCGCGTGCCCCCCCCCCCCCCCCCTCCGCAGACCCACGTCAGAGTGACAAAAAGCCCTCAGAATTGAGATTTAAGCCTCCCAAAGCTCCAAAACCAGGTTCTTTCTGTCACTGCGGATGCCCCCCCCCCCCCCCCCCCACATGGGAATGAGAAAAACCTGAAATTGAGGTTTTGGGCCTCCCAAAGCTCCAAAACCACATTGTTCTGTCACTGCGTGCGGGGCGCCCCCCCCCCCCCCCATGAAACTTCTGTCACTGCGCCAGACCCACATAAGAGTGACAAAAAGCCCCCAAACCTCCAAAACCAGGTTCTTTCTGTCGCTGCGGGTGCCCCCCCCCCCCCCGCAGACCCACATGGGAGTGACAAAAAAACCTGAGAATTGAGGTTTTGGGCCTCCCAAAACTCCAAAACCAGGTTCTTTCTGTCACTGCGGGTGCCCCCCCACCCCCCCGAGACCCACATGGGAGTGACAAAGCCCTCAGAATTGAGATTTTAAATTGAAGCTCTTGGCCTGAATTGAAGCTCTTGGCCTCATTTGGGACTGAATTGAAGCTCTTGGCCTCATTTGGGACTGAATTGAAGCTCTTGGCCTCATTTGGGACTGACTTGAAGCTCTTGGCCTCATTTGGGACTGATTTGGGATTGAATTGAAGCTCTTGGCCTCATTTGGGACTGAATTGGGACTGAATTGAAGCTCTTGGCCTCATTTGGGACTGAATTGGGACTGAATTGAAGCTCTTGTGCCTCACTCGAAGCTCTATCGCTCTATCGTGCCAACCCTAAACCACTATCATTGTCAAAGAAACCCTTGTCATTGTAAAAACGTTTTTGTCATGGTTAGAACCCCTACTCGGAACGTCAAACATCCTTTTGCAGCATCTTGTATAAAGAGGCACCAACGCTGCAAATAGCAGCGTTTTGGGCATAACATGGCATAACTCCCCCCCCCCCCAAAGAAAAGCATGCGCCTGAAAAACCATGTGCAGCAAACCCCCCCCCCCTCCGCTTGCGTAAACATGACATGCAGGCAAGCCCTGACAGCCGCTGCACTTCCGAACACCTATCGTGATCCTATCGTGTGCCAGGAGAGCAACGCGAGCATGTGCCTTACACTTCTCTGGGCCGTGCGGCCGGCGGGGCCTCGACAGCCAGCGGGAGCTGGCCTACCTTGGATCTTCGCAACAGCCAAGGCCACCCGCGTGCTCTCTACACTCCCCACTTGCACCGCGGAAAAAAGGATCCCATGCCCTGCACACCTCAAGGGCGCAACCCCAGAAGCCGAAAGGTTTTGCCCAAGGCGCAAGATCAGCAGACGCCCGAAGCTCAGCCAGCTCCTACAGCGCAGTTCACGGATTGAAATGAACGGGAGATCACGTGTTGACCATTGTTGACCTCTCAGAGCCTCGCTGAGTGCTCCAGCGCGGTGCGCTCCCATACATTTCCCACACGTTTACACCACTCCTTCCCACTGCCTGCTCGAATCACTCATCGCGCCATGGCCCTTGGGGTAGGCTCGTCCCGGCTCTTTTCGCTCTCCCAGAGATATGCGAACTCCACACAATACATCATTTTGCTGGGAGCCACCAGCCGCACCTTGCGAATCTTTGTCGCTTCTGGCACGAACCCAAGCAGCTGCAAGAGCCGGTCATGGACATGCTCCTCTGAGTAATCGAAGGTGTAACAGTAAACGCAGAACTTCGGCAAGCCCACCTGCAGAATTGCAACGGACCCTAGGACTGTCACACTCGCAACAGTCTTTCCCACCCCTCACTATGATCTCTTAGGATTCACTCCAATCCCACTCGCAGGACATATCCCGTTTCGCGGAAGGGGCCTTTGAGGCGTTTGAAGCATCCACCATGCAGTTTCGCAGAGGCCGCAACTCTCCACAAAGCATCTCCAGCCTGGCTTTCCCAAGCAGAAACAACCCAAAGAAGCCCTACTAAGAAGCCCCACCAAAAAGGCCCTCCCTAAGGATAACAAACAAAAAACTCCCTTCGACGCAGCCCGGCAGCGCCAGCTCCGGCAGATTGAACGCCAAGCGGGTGATGCTGACCTCCAGCCGAGGCATTCCGAGGTGTTTAAGGCGGAAGTTGTCTCAGCCTAAGCCATTTTATCTCTAACGGCAACGGGCCCTTTTGGAACTGAAAGACTGAAAGACGGATTCGGCCTTGGGAAAGCCGAGCCCGAGGTCGCCCCAGCTTCCATGGAGGGCGCTGCGGAGCAGCGGCCGCGCGTCCATCTGAAGGACCTCCATCTTCAGGCGATTCCTTCTTGGAGCGTGGCACTCTTGGCACTCTGCCACCGGGAAAAAAATGTAAGCGAATACTGTGTATTTGTGTATACTCATTAAAGAGAGGAGAGAAGTCAACAGGGGAGAAACGGAGAGTGAATGGGGGTCTGTCTCTCCCCCAAGCACTCCTCCGGGCATTCTCTTTTGCGGCGGCGGCGGCTGCTGGGTTGAGATCGTTTGCCACCACGTGGCAACCCCTCCTTGGAGCACTCTGAGCACTCTGAGAGGCCGATGGCTCTGGCTCCTCTAACGACCCGAGAACCATGAAAAGAGGTCCCCGCGCCTGGCGCAAAGCAAAGCCAAAGCCCCAACGCCAGCAGCCAAGTCCACAAACACCTCTGCGAGCCGTGTGGTGGCTGGGTAACTTTGGCTTCCAGTCAGTAGGTCACCAATTTGCCATGTTAAGACCTTGAAAAGCCGTAGAGTACTAGAAGCAGTAGAAGACCTTCTTAAAGGTAGGTGGCCTTTTTGTTCAGCGATGAAGCTGCATGACATGAGGCCCCTCTTCCCTGATCCCACCTCGCCCTCTCCACATTTGCCAGAAAGGCGTCCGCGCTCGCTCGCCAAGCGCGAGTTCCAGTAGACCTTCAGAACACAAGCACCCTTCGGTTGTACTGCTCAGCCTCAACTACCCGTTCTTGACAAACACACGAACACACATTAAGGCCTTCCGAAAATCGAATTTGAGCTTGAGCCCGAACTCCTTCAGCTCGACCTCCGTGTCTGCTTCCCCCGCGATTACCTGTCCAACTCGTCAAACATCTTCTTCGTTACTCTGAGGACTCTGAGGTATCCCCGGCATCGCGAACATCGGGGTCCGGTTCACAACTTGGCGCCACAACTCGGAGTTGTTGCTCTCTCTTTCTCAGCAGTGCCTAAACTAAGTCCTGACCGACCCACACACGCAAAAAGCAGGCCAAGCCGCCAAGCAGCGAAACATGCAAAAGGGCTAAATGATGCTAAATGCAAGAAGAGAGTGCTGCAATCCAACAAACTTCAAGACTTGCGACACGCGCACTGCCTCCATGTCGAAGGTTCGATATTGATGTGAAACCGTGCCGCGCTTCGCAACAACAGTCCGCACGTTCTTGGACTTGTCCATGAGAACCTGATGCGGGTGAACTTCTGAATTTCAGAACGGCTCTGGTCTTTTGAGGCCTGCCCTTACACGATCCACACGCCTGACCGATGAGATGGCGATGTGGCCAATGCTCTTGAAGCAAGTTGAAATGCGCGATGTGGCCCAAGACCTCGTAGCCCATGGGCACCGTTACATCAGCAGGGAGCAACAGCGTGAGGGCTTCCTTATAGTTGAAGTTTGCATAGCCGAGTTCGAGCTCGTAGGTTGTAAAGGACCCCTGAAAAGCCTCGATTGCGTTGTGAGCTTCCGCTCCAAGGCTCTGGGGAGTCACGCCCGGTGCCAGCAGCAGCAGGCTGCTGCCTGGCTCGGCGCCGCCCTCCTCCGTGACGACGTTCACCACGTTCACCACGTTCACCACGTTCACCACGTTCACCACGTTCACCACGTTCACCTGGTTCACCGCGTTCGCGGCCTTCGCAACGGCGTCGGCGGCGCCCGCAGAGCTCGGGTCTCGCTTTTGGGCCCGTTTTTTGGCCCGCTTTTGGGCCCGCTTCTTGGCCCATCCGAGGCAGAAAGGGAGCACTTCGGGGTGCTGCCGGAGCCGATAGGCGCCGTCCTCCGGCACCTTCACGGCACAGAGCTGCTCCGATCGGTCGAAAGCCGCCCGATCCACGCGATCCACACGATCCACGCAGCGACGCAGCACACTGAAAGAGCTCCCCCTCGAAGCCCGGATCTCCCTCACATCCCTCACATCCCTGAGGCATGTGCGCGGAAGGACTGAAAATGCAAGGCTTGCACTCCATGCGCTAAGGAAGCCACGGAAGCCACAGAAGCCAGGAAGCACTCCCGTGCAGCACTTGCAGCGCTTACTCATGTTACGGATCCCGCATCCAAAAAAAAACTGTCTCGGAAGCATTTCAATCTACTTCATCGCTCGACTGCACCTGCAAGCGGTTGCATCAACGGCTTGTCTACCAACCAAAACCAAACAACAAGATGTGGAGCAACACTGTCACGAGAGCATCAAATCGAATTGACACTTGAGCCTCTATGGCTGCAGATGCAAAAAGCGTCAAAAAGAGTAGTACAGCGCACTTGACCTTTCCAAAAGAAGCTGCGAACCAATGAGTTGCGTTGCGTGATGTTGCGTGTTGTCGACTTACGGCTCTTCCTGCTCCTGTTTTGGTAGAGGGCTCCTCATCTGTAGGGCGCCACCTGTATGGCACGAAACCTGGAAGCAGAGACTTTGTTGGCTGTGGTGTCTGATCGAGAAAATGCCTTGCACACCACGCCTGGGCCATGTAGCACTGCAGAAAGGTAGCTGATCTGGCGCAGCAGAAGCACTCGCAGCCGCAAGAAGCCAAGTGAATGCAATGTACCCCGGCGCTGCTCGAAGCTTCAAGCCAATGCTGGTCGCACCAATAAGCAGGCCACTTCGATGCCTGAGCTCTGCGATGCCCCTTGAAACCCTGCCTGCTGTTGCCGTTGCCTACATATGCCTACATATGCCTACACATGCCTACATATGCCTACATGCCTACCCTGTTGCCTATCCAACTTCACTCATTGATGAGATTCCGACCGAAGAGCGCCAGCTCTATGATGCCATGGTCCCAAAACCCAATCTGACGAGTACAGTTCTGTGGCGCTGCTTGACGTTGTGCGCTACCCACAGCTGCGCACAAAGCTCTGGGATACTGGCAGGATGTATCCAGCCTTGGGTGTGGTGCGACAACGCATCTGTTCAAGGAAAACTGCGCCAAAGTGGGCTGCAATAGGCCCCACACCGTGGTAGACGGCGCTGGCCGAGAGGAAAGCCACCAAGCCGAGGGTCAGGAAAGGCGCCACGCCGGCAAGTCGACTGCACGGGGAAGTGAACTGACTCTATCTGACCCCAAAATTTTTTTTCTGATACTGACAGCTCGTCAGCTCTCTGAAATTTGAAATTGAAATTGTTTTTTCTCCTCTCGCGCCCCGTTTCTCGCACGAGCTGAGCAGGCTGTGGCAACATGCGCACCAAAGTGGATCTGCAACCTTCCGCCCATTCCACGGCTGTTCCACGGCTGTGCCTCGGCTATCCCACGCCTGCATACGCGCCGCGCTTGTTCTGCTTTCACTATTGGTGGTTTTGATTGGTTTTGATGTAGACTCCTATGTATGACGCTGTTTCGATCGGCATTGCTGCCTCTATCCGTGGTTGTTTCCCCTGCACGCGTCCTCCAGCAAACTCTGCCATCGATCACAGCAACTGCGAGTTCGGTTGGATGCGTGACCGGCAACTTTGCCACTTCGCCGTTCGCTTCGCCATTCATCAATCTATCAAGCCTTTTCGCGCACATAGGCATCGTCAAACCATGTCCAAGAACAAGCGATTCAGGTGTCCAGTTCATGGCATAATTACCTGTTAATTGAACTTGACAGAAAAATTGCCGCCGAAGCATTTCCTGGGTTTTGGCTGCTTTGGCAGCCTTGTGCACAAGAGCCAGAGAGCCACCATGCTGCCCACCAGGGCCATAGCCTCATGTATTCGACCATGTCGTCGAAACGGTCAGGGTGCTCCGCAATTCCCGATACATTTTTGCGACAGAGCTCCATTTGACATGGCAGAAAGTGCAATTACGAAAATGCAGCTGACTTGATCCGCCAACCTGCACGAAACACTCAAGCTGCATGCATTCGCACGCGCAATCCAAAAGGGCCATCACTGGATCAATCCGCATGCCGCTACGGCCCTCTAAGTCGGGACCTTTAATGTCGCGGGGGATTCAGCAGGATGGTGCGGGAAGAAAAGGGCGTGGGGAAGAACCAAAACGTGGAGAAACAAATCAAGAACATTTTAACATGTCCAGCCTCGCTGCTGTGCAACAGGCATCGTAATCTGTCTGGTGATCCTGCATCACGGACATGTACGTGTTTGTCAAACAAAGCCGAAATGCCTACAACCAAGCTTGCTGCCAAGCTGCATGACCGCTGAAGCGGGCGGGGTCAGCCATGCAAACACCAAACACAATGAACCACCCACGCATGCAAACATGCAATTGTCTGCGCAGCTGCTGTGGGGATTGATTGGTTCGTGCACTGGAAAACTACATGACAGGCTGCACATCAACCCTTACCGACTTACATCATCGCCACTCAGTTCCTAGTCAGATCCACATGTCATGCTGTACGCGAGAAAGCCGATCCTCCACTACAAATGCCAAGATATTCACAACAGGGCTGTGGCGCAACGTCAAAACTGAGGCTTTTTGGCTCAAGTTGGTCTCGTCCGCCCCTAAGCAGCCCGTGCTGCGTGTGCCGCGTGCCGATTGTGGGCAAAAACAAAAATATAACCCTTGTGAGTGCTGCTTGCAAGTTGTGGCGCAGAGTCTCTGCGCATCGCCACGCGTCATGTTTTCGCCCACGCCCCCGATTAACCGGTTGGGGAGGGACTCGGATTTTTTTTCCCGCCCGCAGTCAGGTGTCCCGGTGTCGGCACACGCAGGGATGCCCTCACAGCCTGCTGGGCGTTGGCGGCAGGTGGCCTGCTAGAAGCTCCCCGGGTCACGGGGCCCCACGATGGGCAGCTCGAGAAGCGAGCAGGCGTGCGCGCGCAGGGCGGCAAAAAATGCCAGCGCCGTCCAGCGCCGCATCAGCGCTTGCCTCGCCCCTGCTGCACACCACGGCGCCCTCTGGCGAGCCCGCGCCCGCGCCAGCAGCCGAAGAAAGGTGAGCGTGGGACGGCTGATGCGTCCGCCAACCTCAACTCCGACCACAACCAGTCGGCAGCGCCGCGCCTGCTGGAATTCCGGGTAGGTCCGGTGCTTGCGGTCGACTGCCTGGTTCAGCGCGAGGCCTGGCTCGTGGTCGGCCCGCGGACGCGGCTCGCCATCACGGCGTATGGGGCTAACGATCGTCGCGTCAACGGCGATCTGCGCACCCTGCCATATGGGGAGGCCGTTGGCCACCACCTCGATCCGGCGCCCGTCGGCCGTTGGCACATCCAGGTTGAGGTCATGCATGGCGACATGGACGGCGACTCGGGCGCCTGCTTCTCTACAGGTACGAAAAAAAGTACGAGCCGCTGCCTGCTCAATGGAGCCTGCTCTCCTGGCCAGCACACAAACTTGCGCACATGCGGAGCGGTGGCCCCCGTAGACGTCCAAGCCTGCACCACAAAGAGCAGCGCCGCGGGGCAAGCGGGAGGGGTAACCGAAGTCTGCGCGGAGCAGCATGACGCGGTACTCCTCATCCGGCACTCTGATATCAGAGGTTGTGGGGAAGGCCGTGAAGGCACAACTCGCGGCTTCCCCTGCCTGAGACAGCAGCAGCGCCCGAGACGTTGGGTCCAGTCCGGAGAAAAGCGTCTCGAGCACGCGCTTGTCAGTGGCAGTGGTGGCCGCGTGTTGCCAACCCGGTTTTCCGAATCCGCCAGGGTCATGGCGCGCGCGTCGGCGCGCTGTTTCTGGGCTCGTCGCAGAAAAATGGGCCCAAGTGGGCGCGGGGAAACCGAGCGGGCGCAGCTGGCGCGCCGCGTGGTCGGCCTCGCGCGTGCTGGGGGGTGTGCATGGGTGTGCCGGGCGCGTTTGGGGCTAGCAGCGGGCGACCCAGGTCAGCGAGCACGCCTGGGTGGTGTTCGCCCAGCGTGCACAAGGTCTCCGCCCACGAGCCCCAGTAAGCCGAGTGGCTTTGCTTCTCCGCAGACCCGAGTCCCAGTCCGCCCATGCTGAGGGGGAGCTGTGCTCGACGGGCGCTAAGGTCGGGGAGGGGCATTTCATTCACGATCCCCCCCAACAGCCTCGCGAGGCAGCGCAGGACCGCGGCATCATGCTTGGCGGCGAAGTCTGCTGTGTCGGAGGGCGGCACGGTCCGTACCAAGATACGTGCATCGAAGCGGCACAGTACAGCAACAGCCACGCTGACTGCAGGTGGGGCACGCCCGGGAGCTGCTGGAGCAGACGGTCTTGCTCGCGCAAACGCTGCGTGAGCTTTTCGGCGACGAACGCCCGGCTTCCGCTAGGGCTTCCCAAGACCACCACGCATTGCTGGGCCTCTGCGCGCGCCCAACTTCCGGTCCAACAGGGGTTGGCAGGGTCCTCGGTGGGGAGCTGCCCTGGTGGTTCCCCACCTGCGAGGTTCCACACACGTGTCTTGTGGCTTGCCCAGATGCACCTGGATGTTCGCGTGCCGTGCAAGGGCTTCCCGAACGTGGCCGAACTGGCTCCGTCACGTAGATGTCATCAAGGAAGGCATACAACGTGTCCGACGGGTGGAGCCGGGCACGGACCTCCAGCAACGCTTTGTGATGGCCCAAGGCGAACAGGGAAGGCATCAACGGATCACCTTGCTCTCCGCCTTCCCCTTGCCGCACTTCGTGAGCCCGGCCCTGCTCGTCATAAAAGATGTAAACGCTGGGGGAGCCACAAAAAAGGGCCACGTACGGAAGAAGGCCTGCAGCTCGGGACGGTCTGCAAGCGCCGACAGCATGTTTTGCCGGGATATGTGGGCCCATCCGTGGCCGCACGCACCGCCCGCACGAGGGCTTCGGCACCTGCCTTAATGCCGAGGGCATACCGAAACGGCGCGCAGGCTCGCTGGAATTCCCCAGTGAGCTGCTGCGCCATCGTGCGAGCGACTACGCGCCGGAACGCATCCCCCATGACCAGGGCTCGTACGCCACCTGTGGGTTTGGTTAGGGCCACCATGCGGCCTAGCCGTATTGCCGGGATGATCGTGTCCGGCACCTGGGCCGAGGCCAGTTTGCCTGCCGCGGTTACCAGGAGCTGGGTGCATTCCTCATCATCCAGGAGCACTCGCAAGTGTTCCCCAGTGCACCCTGATGGTCCGGGGGCCGCTCCCTTTCGAGCCCGTCGGACATTGGCGATCAAGCGGTCA